GGATCTCTCTCAACTGACTGGAAGGTGCTGTCCTTTACCTGACAATACTGAAGCGTGTCATAAACCTTAAGCCCCCCAATGACCTGCCTGGGGCCAGATATACACGTATCTCTTTGACTCCTTACCTCTCACCGCCCCATCAATCAAATCTTTTGTCCTCAGGCAAGTGTGTCTTTTGCTGCCGAATATACTGTAGACGCAAACACACACCAAACCTACAATAATTTATTTAACATCGTGAAAAAAGAGCTGATACTCAGGATGTGAAAGATTCATTCAAACGAAGTTTTCGCAATGCTGCCTACGAGGGTTGAATGTGATTCTTAGTGATCAGAAAGCTCAACTTTAAACATTAAACTTTGCATCTGCAATAAATTATCAGGGATTCACATCAAGTATGTATGGGATGTAATACAACATTTTCATTGGAATTCGTCGATGAAGACCAAAGTTATAACTTCTTTCGCGCAAGCATCCAGAGCTAGAAGACAGACAATCCCTAATCTGTAGCTTTTTTTAAAGGTTAAATGTGGTAATGAGGAAGTCAAATGTGACAAGGACATTCAAATGCGGGATTTTCATCTCATCGTTGTACCAGGCAGCTGCCTTTTTTTTATCGGCTGACCATTTCAATTCTACATTTGAATTGTTTGCGTCAAAAATTGGCTTTAAATACAAATGTTCCCCCTTTTTAAGGGGTGCCCCAAAACGCTTCAATCCTCTCTTATTTTGTCGGACTTTGGCCTCCCTCCATCAGTTTTTGGTGGAAATTTATTCCAAGAATCAACCCTGACTATGAAAACCTAATTATTGGCATCTGAACCTTCAATTGACACCATCCATAACTTGACGTTTCGATGGTTGCTAATGAGAATAAGTGCAAACGTCTCATGGAAGAACATATTGAGTTGCCTGTGATGGAAATGCAAGAAGGTGCAGCGTGGCACGACCGCAAGATAATAGCTGTCGCATTCCAACTTCCCTATCCCTAAGATGAATTTTTTAAAATCCATCATCCAACACAGCGACGCATTTGAACGTCCTCGTCGCATTTGACACTCTTCTTACCACGTATGACGTAGAAAATCTATAACATCTTTTGAGGAAATGTTTAGTTTTTGCGAAATCCCACATCAGATGAGCGCTTTAATTTTAAGAAGGGAAAGAAGAGAATGTAAATGATAGGAAGCAACTCAATCAGTGAGTTTGAGCAATGGCTGGAGAAAATCTCCCAGCACTTGAGATGCCTTTGAAGTGACGCTCAAATAAGTAACGCGGTCAGCATAAGAGGAGACTCAACTATCGAATTAATGGCCACACAACATTAAGTGTATGTAAAAAGGGACCAATAACTTTTAGCTTGTATAATTCTGCTCTCACGAGAGCTATTTTCACGAAACTTGCACTGGAATGATATGGATGGACTGATGTGTTTACAATTTTTTTTCACGCAAATTGATTCATCCACAACATGGTCATGGAAAATTTCTCAAAAGAAATTGGAAGTTGATAATAAACACGGGACTGCGATTTCTTCCGAGTACAGCATAGAGTTTCGATTACTTCTGTCTCGTTCACTGACGAAGACCGGAGGAAAATCAATTACACAAATGAACATGTGATTCCTTTCATTAAATAAATTATATAATATATATATATTATTGTATTTTATATATTGTATTGTTACAAATTTTATCAAAGGCAAAATATACTCGACGTTTATTGTCCATTGTAGAATGATTATTTTCCATAGAAATTAGCAGTGGCATTCCCTATGAACGTTTTTTTTATTCGCTTTTTCTCAGCGTTGAAGAAACCCAAAAGCTCGGTGAAAATTTATTTCATGCAGTAAAACCTCCGATGATGAACGACAGAGTGAAGCGTTGAGCAATGTCAGTTGAAAAATCCTACTGATGCATATTTTTCTGCAATTATTGCAGAATCATGCAATCCTACACTCACGGGCTTTATGCCACCTGGGGGACATTCCTCAACCAGTTGCATACTTGAAGAAATCGATGCCATCGGGTAACAGAAGCTATGGAGTGAGGGGTTGGGGGGCTAGGGGTCTCAGAGGCAAGAGATCTGGTCGTCGACAGGTATCGCTTGTCCATGTGCTAACCATTCTCATAAAGGGGGAAATGGGGGACAAGGAACATCTTGAAACAGAATAACATTCCGGAAATATTCATTGAGAGACAAATTTGGGGAGAAGACCCTTTTCTTAATATAGGCTGGTGATGGGCTCATATGATATATAGCCTCTTGATATGCCGATGGATACCAGCAACTCAGATGGAAAGTCTCTCGTGCGTCACTATTACGCAATCGCACTGCTCAGAGGGAGGGGAGACTAAGGATTTGGGGCACAACAGTAATTAGCTTTAATATTTGGAAGGAGTGGTTTCACTGATGAGGCCTCCTTTCTGCTAATGTCGATGGAAATCGACATAGCTGCCATTATTGGAGCTATCTTAACACACACTGGAACAAACGTGCTAACGTCTTAAAAGGGGAATGTGTGGGCAGGAATATTTAGTAGCCATGTGCTGCGACCTTTCTTCATTTTTTTGCGCGAGGTACATACAACTTCCAGAGAAGGAAATTCGCCCCACTTAGATTGATCTGTGTGGAGATGAAGAGATGCAGTATCAGCATGTTGATGCGTCCATTTTGCTGTAAGAGTTCAATAGTATTTTGAAATTACTTTTCCCAAAAAACGGATTGGAAGGCGTGGGATATTTTAATTGCCTCTTCGTTCGCCAGATCTACCTTTAATGGTTTATTTTCCTTTGGGGTAATGTCAAATACGTATTACAATAGGCACGTCTTAACGCACTCCGTGACTCTATTACCCTTGCCCCCCTCCCCCCCCCCCCCCCCCGCCCACCTTCATTTTCCATCCTTTGGTTTGGTGCCATCGTCACCTCTGCTGCTGCGTTCTTTTAAGCATTTCACTCAATTTCCTTTTCATTATTCATACCTTTCAAGACAAATCCACCTCGTTTCAACATTTTCTTTTGCATTAATTCCCATTTTCGTCAATACGATTTATTCTTTACCTGTTTGGTTTTCATCCTCCTGTGCCACCCTGATTTTTTCTCCTTTTTCAAAGTATTATCTTTCTTCCATGAAGAAGGTGACTTCACGAGGACGAGACATAGGACACCGCCTTCCCAACAAAAAGATCAGGTACTAGGGATATCAGAGACGACTTTCATTCAAACTCTTATCATAAAACATTATTTTCGTTAATATGTAGTTCATTTAAAATTGGTATAAGAAGCATACGAACTTCATATGTACTGTACGAGAGGGTGCACATCTGTTCCATGCTTAATTAATATGAGCTGAGTTAATGAATTTACGTAGCAAACATACTGCATTTCTGGAGACATAGTCGTAAATGGCTGATATCGAATGACATAAAATACACAAAATGTTCGTACCTGCTTCAGGACACAATGTGAACCCGCTGCTTCGTGATTTTGTTGCATGTTCAAGTGAGTGGCCGTTTACTACGTGTCATCTTGAACATAACTGCCGTCTAAGAGAAATTTCACTGCAAATTGCTCTCATGAGGTCCAATTATCGCCTCAATTTTCACTCATTGCTGATGAACTTCACCGATTCCTTCCTTCACAGTACTGGGTGCGACAGCCTACTTGGGACAAACTCATGTGCAAACTTTAAATTTCCCGAATTTTGAATTTGCTAAATTCTTGGCTTCAAGGCTTGTATTGATTAAAGTTATATTAAGTGCAGTTCATTTAACACTATCAGCACGCACATATTTTCCAAACACACTGTGCAAAAGTAAAAAACTGAAGCACTATTGCAATTTTTGCCAGAAGTGGAGTAAAGTTTATGCAAAGTCCGAGCTGCACTTGTTAAACTGAAACTGAAACATGCAAATGGTAGTGCAAATCATTGGCTTTCCACACCCCTATTACTCTTTGCTGCTTCAACTGTATTGCTAGTTCCAACAGCAAAGCTTCATATGACTGTAACTGTGACTGTACACTGAATTTTGCCAAAAAATTTTAAAATAGTGCACTGGTTAATTGTCACTGCAGCAAATCGTCAGTCACTCAGTGGAAGCCTATCGGCAGCGATGATGCGCTCCAGACGGCCACGACATGCACTGGAAGCCTCGCGAATGAAGTCTGAGGACAGGCCTTACTGTTCGCTTAATGCGCCTCTTCGCGTCCTCACTGAGATCTGGGCCGGGCATGTCAGAAAATCCGCAGGTGGCTTGCTAGGAATTACCTTCTGCGCGCAGAGTGATATTTAGGAGCAAAATTGAACAGTTTGGTTCATCCGAAGCTATGGGTATTTAACCTTTAAATAGCAGGGTTATTTAGCGGAGTCCTAGGGCGCTGTCTGTGACAATTTTCAAATAGGTATTGCCAGCCGAAAGCTCAAAATTTGCGGTAAAGAAAATGTCCCAAGTAGGCTGTCGCACCCAGTATAAAAAGTGGGTGATGATTCAATGCTCAACTTCAGAAAATACTGCAATTTTGAGCAAATGCTCAAAACGAGGTGAACAAAATACAAGCTATGGACAATCTCTTTCTTCGAACGAAATCGGACTGAATAAATAGGACTGTGCAATCGCAATTGGACCTTTCACGTGTATGGACCAGTTCCCGTTTGTGTTGATCTTGCAACTAATGGCAAGTAAGTGATTATTACCTTATTAGTATTGCATCTCGTACTCGAAGCTTAGCAGCCTTCTCATTCCTTGTACTTTTTTCTCCTTTTTCACCGTTAGGATCGTCCATTTACTCGCCCATTGGATATTCCAGACGACCCGGATAAGAATGTTTGTTCACACGTCTTATCTAGAGGGGACACATTTGCGAGAGCTCTGTTATACTGGAGAGGAAATGCATTCGTTGGAGCTCTGATATGTCTCCATTCCTTGGAGGGTCAGTCAGCGATGCAGCTGGCCTCGTTAGAGAGGCATCGAGAAAGTCCACATAATTCCATCATAATCATGGTTTCAGTGAACTGCTGTGGAAGTGAGATATACATTATGATACTACTATGTTTTTGTTTGTAGAGAGTGATGTGTATCCCCCTCCCTGCGTCTGAAATGTATTATCTTGAAATAAGTTTATTTTCCGGGCAAACATTACGGTTTCAATTCCAGAGATAGATAAAATGCAAAGGTTCCTGAAAGCACAAGTACCTTACAGGTTTGCAACGACGCGAACCCAATCGCAGGATCGCCAGGGATATGGTGCTTATGCACGTATGCCAACAATGACGTCGACGGGGCGCATAAACGAGGAAAGTGATTCAGAAGGGGAAAATATACCTCTGGCTGATAATGCCAAACCGGACGAGGAAGGGCATGAGCAACAGGTAAATCCGAAATTTCAAATATCAAAAGATTTCCGATACAAGACCCTAACATTTTGGACTGCTAGGGTCAAATGACACAATGCAAGAGCACCGTCTCCCACGCTATTCCAGATAAGATGATTATAAAGCATATTATTGAATCCAAAACGAAGCTTGTAATGAATCTAGATTTAAGGTACCTCAAATACTTCACTAAACTGGTCCAGCACTGCATTTCACTTTTTCATGTCACAAACTGCGTATATAGAATTTTGAACCTTCACATTTTCCCCAATTTGCAAATTTTTCTTTCAAAAACTTGATTGACTCCTTCAAAAATGAAAGATCAATTAAAGTTCTTTATACAGGGTGGCAACCAAACATGTCTCACTTTTCATTGACCTATATTTTCATTATTTATTAAGGTATACAGTTAAATTACACTTAATGTGATAGATGGCCCCAATAATTTTTTTAATGCTAAGAAACATGTTCAAACTTTTCACCATTTCTTTGAATAATCTCTTTGCTACATAAAACATTGTTTTCAATAATGTTATCCAGTATCTCGTATGTTATGAACTGAGCGCTGTAACCACAGAACATTAGAGTCAATCAATGATGTGTGGTTTTGTGGAGAACACCTTGGGTGAATTGCATGAAATTGACATTAGCTTATTGGAGCTTTACACCTCCTTTAGCGCCGCTAAAGGAGGTTAAAACCTTCTACAGACTTTCCTTCGCTCCGCTGAAGGAAGTTTAAAGCTCCATTAGGCTTAAGTCTGTTTCGTGAAATCCACCCCGTTTCCTATAAGGAAACCTTACAAGAAAATATAACAGTCTACGATCAGAAGAATCTGCTGGACACTTGATATCCCCCTTCTAATGCCCATAATGCATTCTCTTCAAACTAACCAATAATATTTTTAATCGTTGAATTTGATGGAGGTGATTTGTGAAGAAACCGTCGCCAAAATTCTCTCTTCTCAGTAACAGGTGAATGCATTTGAACGAATTTCTGAATTATTTAAACTTTTCGCTGTTTTCCCCCCAACTAACTACCCCATTAAATCCATAGCTTTGATAAGTTTGATAAGCACTAAGATCTTTTGATGAACTGATAGTTTTTTTATTGGGTTCCTTATAGAAAAGGTATTCACCACAAATCTACACATCATTGATAGACTAAAATGTTCTGAGGTTACAGCGCTCAGAGACATAACACACAAACAATATACTAGCAAATGTTATTGAAAACACTGCTGAGTGTTATAAAGAGATTATCCAGAGGAATAAACAGTTAGAACATGTTTCCCAACATGAAAACACTTATTGAGTTAGTATATCATATGACATGTAGTTTAATTTTCTACCTTAATAAATAATGAAAATATGGGTCTATGAAATGTGAAACATTTTTTGTTGTCACACTGTACATGAAGTAGTTTCATTCTGTTCTCACAAACTGCACTGTTGTGAAGTTACGCTGACCTCGAGAGAGTATTTTAGAACTTATTCAAATTCGATTCCCTTGCAGGTTCACGAAGGGGATACGACTAATGATGGCAACAAGGTGCAAGAAACTGTCGAGGATGGCTCAGGAGGGGAGAGAGATGAAATGAACCTTTACCTCGAATCCGCGTATTTGGTGAACACACTGAAGAAATTGGCGGTTAAACTGAATGAATTGGAGAATAAACCGGCGCGTGACAACCGTCTGAAGGAAAAGCAGACAAAAGTAAAGAAGGAGATAGAAGAAATCTTGGACAAGCGTACACATTCCCTTGGTATGGATTTCAAAGACCACAATTTTCGCACCCTGTTGCACTGGGGATGCATTCTCGGAAACGACTACATGGTCTCTCTGTTCCTGGAGAAAGGAGCAGACCCGAACTGCCAAGACAAGTGGTGGAACACGCCGCTCCATTATGCCACATACTTTTGCCCGGGGGTCGTCCTCAAGCTGTTGGAGAAGGGAGCCAAGATTTGGATTCACAACGAGAAATACGAATCTCCTCTCCAGAGGATTTCCCCAGATACCCTAAGGGAGTACTTGGACGGGTGCATGCATGAAAACGGCAGAGGCTATGACTACAAAGCCCAACTGGACTTGACCTTCTTGATTCCTCCCAAAGAATCGAAAGAATCGAAGGATGTGGAGAAGTCAAAAGTTGAGGAGTCGATGTTCGCCGAGACGACGTGTCTGTGGTGGATCACCAAGAGCCCCCAGCATCATGTGGTCCTCAAACACCCGGTCATCACCGCGTTCCTGGATCTCAAGTGGCAACAGATCTCCATGATCTACAAACTCCTCTGCATCGTGTATATGCTTTACCTGGTGCTGCTATACTTTTTTCTCAACGCTGGAGCGTTTCACAGCATGCAGGAAGCACGAAAATCAATGACGAAATTGGGAAATGAGACGCGCCTTGGTGCTGATTGTACAGTTTACCAAAGTTTACAAGACCTGGAGAGTGCTGCTTCATCTGTAAAGGATAATTTCACTCAAAGACTGTCTCTGGACGAGAAAGCATACTTCCAGTACATGCCCAAGGGATGGACAGTGGTGCGTTTCGTCTTGGTCGCCTTCAACTCGTTGATTCTCTTCCTGGAATTCCTCCAGCTCCTCTACTTGGGGGAATCCATAGACGACTCACACTACTTGGAAGACTTCTACCGGTACCATCGTAGGTACATGCATAAGGAGAAACATCTGCTGTACCTGACCCCGACGACCTCGCCGCAGGAGTGGGAGAATTTCTCGCTTTCCGAGGTGATTCGTATCGGAAGCCAGCTCCCATTCTTCTCCCTTTACGTCCATATGTTCATCACCATTGCTGTGAAATTGCTCAAGTTGATTTTCTGGTCTTGGTCCGTGTTGGTCATCATGTACTCCTCCATCTTCATGCTCCTCTTCTACACCGTGGACGAGTTCTCATCTTTCCTATTATCGCTGTCTAAGACCATCACGATGTTTATCGGGGAGTTCGGCTACGAGAACATCCCCTTCGAGAGGTACGGAGGACTGAGCCATTTCGCATTCTTGACGTTCGTCATCATCGTGACGGTCATCCTGATGAACGTTTTGGGTCTGGCAGACCCGCTCTGCGTCCTGTAGTTCCTTTTTCGACTTCGAGACGCGGTACACAGGGTCCACTTCGAGTAGAAGATGCACCTCAGGTAGAAGGACGTCCTGGGCCTTATGTAGAAGGTGCACAAGTTGTATTGGGCTCGGGTGAAGAAGTTGTTCGGAGGATCCACTCCGACACGAGGATCCAGTGTCCGTTATCCGTCTTTCCTCAATTGCTGCCCGTGTTTCAATCCGATTCTCAAACGTCTAGCAATGAAACTCATGCTGCTTCAGGCGGATGGGTGGCATCCAACGTTGACCGTCCATCCTATGATGGACATCGTTCACGATCTGGACATCCCAGGAGAGACATCGTCATCTGTCCAGCCTATATGGGAACAGACATGGAGATCCCTGAGATCCAGCGAAAGCCGAATGGACATAGATGCGCCTTCAGCTAGGAATGCCTTTCGTGCTAGTGGAATGTCTCTGCTGTCGAAGAAGCCATCTCCAAAGGCTCTCAGTCTGGGCTACCAGGAAGCTGAGAACCTTATCCACTTTATGAAAACTCAACGAAACGTGAAAGCAAAGCAACCAGTTTGGATTGCATCTGCAAGTGGCAGAGGGAAATCATCCAGAAACGGAGGAACCGCGAAAGGAGGTAGCAGCCTGTAGACCGAAGAAGTCATTGAAGTGAAGAGTTTGCGATATTGGATCGCAGGTAGACCATGGACAGACCCCCCCCCCCCCAAAAAAAAAAAAAAAGGGAGGGGGAGGGAAAGGATGCTTTTCCTTCAGACGGTTGTCACGCGCCGGTTTATTCTCCAATTCATTCAGTTTAACCGCCAATTTCTTCAGTGTGTTCACCAAATACGCGGATTCAAGGTAAAGGAAGAAGAGTCGGAGGATATTTACGCGATTGTGACATAGTTTTTGAAGATCTGAGACCTTCAGAGCGGTTCTGGTGAGCTGATGGATGGAAGGTGTAGGGCAAGTGTGATATTCGAAATGGGAATCTATTCTCTTTTCTTCAAGCCTCCTAACGACCTCAGTGTAGGTGAGCATTGTGTCGTGTCATGAACAGGGTTAAAGGGCATGATGAAAGTTACGATCGCGGGCTTTGAACCCTATTTAGTCTTGCTTCCAACGTTTCTCAAAAGAAAGGAACTGTCTTCAAGTTCACTCATGAAAGTCAAAAGTCATTCAAAGTCACTCATCAACTCGTCGTTCACGAGACTTTCAAGCCGCTCTTCGTCGCTCAGTTCTTCTCACGCGTCTCTTCCCGATGGTGTCGTGCGTTAGACCCTGTCTACTCTCATGGCAAATGAGGCTCATGATTCTTATAGAATCGAAACAGCACTATTAAAGCTGATTGTGATCACTTCTCTTCTTATTTAGCTGCAACGAAGGGGCGGGGATTGTGGCAGGATGGAGGATACGCCACAGCGTAAGGAAAAGAAGATGAAGGGGGGAGGGAGGAAACAATGGAAATAAATAAAAAATTTGCATGAAAAGACGTAATGAAAAAGAAAAAATGAGAAATAGAGTAATATTGAATCCAAAAGGACTAGAGAAAGACCAAGAAGAATCAAGGAAACCACAAATTCCACCAATTACACTCGAGAGATCATAACTAAGGCAGTCAGCTCTGTGATGCAACGTTCATTACGCTATCGTCATCTATTCGTTTGAGGATATTCATGCATGTTGACCTCCCTGGGAATTGCAAAAATCCCAATTTCAGCGCTGTAATATAACGGGTCTCGAAATATTATGTTTAAATCCCCCCTCTACCACCAGAAAGGAAAAAATAGCTTTCATGGGAACTAATTATGCTAGAAATAGTATTTAGAAATATAAATAGTTTTTCAGGCTCATATTAGAGTCAGGACAAAGTGTAACACGATTTATTTGAGGCAATTTTCTGTATTTCTCTCACAAAGTAGTCATGGATATTCAAAGTATTGAACAAATTCAAAAGTTTCCATATGAATCTGAAATATTGGAAAACTCGATAACAATGTAGCATTCTAATTCTAGTAAATCACAAAAATAGCTGAACATCATTAACTTCGCTCCAAACATAAGTTAATTGGAATTTTGCGTTGAAGTAACTAATGCTCAAAAATAAATGTAAAAAAGGGAAGTAAAAAGCAACAGATGCAGTATTCATGGAAGGGAAGTGGGACGAACTTGAGTTGCCTGGGTGGAGCGACTCAAAATGTAAAGAAACGAAGGAAAGGGATGATGAGTGAATTCGCAATTTGAGCGAGCCACATGGCCGCAAAACCTCCAATGAGAAACACAAGGGACGTTCAATGATGGTAGAGGCGGAATTTCGCTCTGGAACTCGCTTCAGCCTTTTCATCCAAAAGAAGCCGGTAATCGAATTTTAGACGGCATTCCTGAGAGGGAAGCACCAAAATTCAACCCAGTTGAGAAATTTTTGAGAACGCACATTGAGGAACTGCTCAGGAATGAACATGTTTACGGGTAACGCTTCCGTAATGCGGAATATCATGACATTTTTGAAGAATTGCTTCAGCTCAGCAATTGTTATAGGAAATTTATTTTTGCACTTAGCGTGAGCACTAAAGAAGGATGAGTTTCAACCGGGACTGTTCTGAGTTGAACCCCCATACATCAGTCCCCTTTTTCAAACATGAATGTCTCATATTTTCTGAAGATGCTCGTGTTATTACCCTACCAAGGGGATCGCTTCCAAAAATTAGCTGTGTTTATACTTCAGCTATTCCGATATGCGGATCTTTCTCTCAAAAAGTACATTAACCCTCACATTAGGATTCCATCTAATTCAGGCTGAAACAGGCTCCACAGCAAGGGCGAAAATGCATGGGCTTTGGGAAAGACATGCCAAATTCCACGCTTAACAGAGATGTCTCGGGAAAAGTTCCATTACGTAATGTGCAAACCAGTGCATCTTCCAGTCAAATGTTTGTTCAAATCATAGGAAACACTGTAAGCTGATAGCAGTATTTGAGAAAAGTACTACTTGTTCAATTGATCAGGCACAAAGCCTCGGAAGAACACGCCGGTTACCTCTCAAGAGTCACAATATTTTATCGGCAGTTCAACGAGCTGTGGGATCAGCGTAGAGGAAAAACAATGTAACAGCACCATTGATCTCCATAATCTCCAAATGACCCTGCTCTTGAACTTTGTCTATCGAGTTTATTCGCGTTACTCTCACTTATTACGGCAAGATGATTTTGAGTAAAAGTAACAGTATCTTCATGGATCCGGGTGCGACCGAGATTCAACGCTAATCACAAACGGTTAAAAAAAATTAAGTAAGCAAAATAGTTCCCCCATGGGATAAAACTAGTCGCCATCGATGAAATCGTCGCGAGTTTTTTGCGTAATTTTTTTTCGGATTCCTCTCGAAATGGATTCATCCTATTTCTTTCATAATGCTTTCAGCCAGGATTTGGAGGAAAAGAAATCCCAAAGGAATCCTCTGATTTATTCGAACAGAGGAATTCAATGTCTCCCAGTGCACTGAGCATTGAGGTTTTCGGCATGCCACATAGTTTCCTAATTCCCCTGGACATGAGGTCCGAATCGTATACTGAGGCCAGTCGATTTCTCCAAAATTTGTTCCGAGCCGCCCACTTTTGAAACTCCTGAAACCTTCCATCATTGACTGTCGTGGCATGCGTTCTACTTCGTGTTCTTAAAATTTCTTTTACTGTTATCGGGGACACGAGTATTTTCGTGTCATCAACGCCCACATTGATTGAGTGCCTGCCTGAGTGGCTCTCAAGTAGCAATGTGGGAGAGGAGGAAAATGTCTATACTTCGGTAAAATAACTTCTTTCAAACAGAGCTTAGTAATTAAAAGTAATAAGGTGCGACTGCAGGAGTGACATGAAGATACCATCAGATCCGTCATTAACACAGAATTAACCATGTTTATAAGAAAACTCAGAATCAGAATGTCCTACCAACACAGCGAACAGAAAAGAACCGCCGGTGCAAGAGTTTCATCAACCGATCTAAATTTATGATGTCACGAAAAGATTAAAAGTGCCAAACAGACGAAAGGTTAGCTGAAAACTTTTTATATTGATATCAGCCACTCAATTTCCTCAGCAGAGAACAATGCATTTTCTTTATTTTCTCCTCTGCTGTTTGCAGAGAACATTCCCATGTTCTCTCCGTATTCAGACTCGTACGAGTACTCAATATTTTTTTCTTTTTAAGTATTCGTACTGGAGATTTGAGCGAAGAAATTTGCTTAAATCTGAGGATCTTCCTTAAGGATTATTCCGAGTGTGGGACATATATTGATATCCGTGTTCAGAGTTGTGCTCAGCTGAGAAGATTCCTTAAGTCCGAGGACAGGAGGTCTTTGTCTTTAGCATAGGAATTCCTCCAGTATCGTAACGCCTGCGTTCATGGTGACAGGTGCTATCCACCGTCAAAGACAAATTTTTATGATGGAATTAACTCCTGGAGATAAATGACGTTCTTGGACGTTACGAGCTTTTGCGTTTTGATGGTGATGGCATTCGGTACTTGTTTTCGATCTGCACCATCACGATTTGGAGAGCGTCATAAGAATGCCAACTTTTGTGCCTCCCGCAATACAAGCTTTTTTTTTTGGTTGCACTGCAGTTCTATGCCAAAGGAATAATGCATATATTGATCTTACAGAAGCTTTTGCCATTTCTCTTCCAACAGCTTGCAGGATTGTAGTCGAGTATTTGCCCTTGCTTACAACATTTACAAAGTCATCTCTTGTTATGCGTCGCCGGCTTCACGGGGGGTAACTCTTATGCAACACCCTCTACTTGCTGCCCTGGTATTAAAGACCACCTATAGCCCTGAAGGGAGGATGTGGATCAAAAGGGATATCCAATACTTTTCACAAACAATACGCGCGTCTGCGAATCATGGTGTATGCATGAAGTGCCAGAGCCGCATCATATTTTCCACCTTCCCCTTGGTTATAAAAACGTATGCTTTTCTACACTTCTCAAAATTGCGAGAGGAAAATCCCATGATTCCCAGGGAATATGGGAGTTCATGCTAACTTCCATGCGGTAGCAGGGCCTCACTTTTCACCAGTGTCTTTCAAAGCGGTTTGGTAAAGATGACATAGATGCAGGGCGTGGAAACCCGATTGCGTGAGAAACAGTGACGAAGGAAGTAGTGACTCCAATGCGCTAAGTGCTATCGGTGACCTCAGTGTCCTGTCTCCGAACTTCGTCTGGTTGCAATCTCTTCCATTCGTCATCTTTACCAGTAACATCGAAGTGACAAGTATGTTTTGCTCTTTCCGTTCTCTTCGCACGAGCTGGTTCAGAAAACCTCATCCATCAACCATCGGGCTCGGAAAGGCCCGATGAGGACCTTTCCAGCCCGATGAGGTTTCCTCCTGTGGATCGTTAGCATACCCTATTCATCCACGTCTACGTCATTTGAACCACTCCATTTAGGAGCTGTGGATGATCATCGGCAGTTCGCTTTAATTGAGCCGTAGCGAGAAGAAAACATTAATTCTACTTTGTAGCATCTAAAAAGCCTTATCTCTATCGAACATGATTTGACAGTCAACCACTGCTCCATATTGAGACGAAATTCAACCTCTTCACAAAGGTTTGCGTTACCTCGGCTAGGCATCTGTACACAACACTGAACATCTATTTCCTTCCAACGCTATACCAACCTCGACAAATGACATGCCCTCGCTTTTGTACATCCTCTCTTTGCCGACAATCTGCCAACTTTGGACCTCACACGCACCCTTCATGGCATTCTCAATTAGCGTTACATTACCAGTCCACCTCCTCCTTCAGCCAATCTTGTCAACCTTCAGGCAATGTATGGACTATGTTTCATGCTTTCTTTGGAAGGAACTGATAGCGTCCATGATTCACAAAGGAAGCGTGCGAGCGGCGTCTACACCACAGGAGACATTTTTCTATGCATTTTCCAACCCCTTGAACAAACATGACGCATCCGTATGCGCCATGGAGGAACCATCCAACTGATGCACATGACGCTCACTGGTTTTTCACAGTGAGTGCTCACTGAGTGAAAAGTACCACAAGAGGAAGGAAAGTCAGAGGTCATAGCATTAAGTAGAGAACTTTAGCAAAAAACAAATGTCACCATCTTTAATACAACATTCTGGCGTCTGTCAGCAGGAAATTGTCCAATACCTGTTTGCTTTCAAGGAGTTAATTGTCATTGGAAGGACCATTAAAAAAATCCGCCTGTTTAGCCGAGGTTCGTTAAAAACTAGGTTGCTTCTTCATTCACAAGAATGAACTGCATAATTTATAAACTCATTTATACTCGATAAGCATGTTCTTGATTGGCGTCTATTTTACCTCGGCCAATCTCTAACAAATAATACTCATTTTCTGCTCAATCACAGGGTTAACTGTCACCCGCAATTCACCAGCCACACTGTATTCTAGAGCAAAGGGCAGCAACTAATGACCAGTTGATACTTTGTTTCTTTTCCCTCTTTACCCCCCCGCCCCTGCCCCCCTTCACACACACACAGCCGAGATCCTTCAAAAGTGCAGGGAAGAGGAGGTTGGAGGATACAAATCTCATAAATCTAAATTGGAATTTCCAGTGCTTGGGGAGAGCGATAACGAATTGATATACTCCATTCCTAACTTCGTGAGTTTCACTAGCCTTCACTCTAAGCTATGCTCGTGTTGCAACCGATTTCGCTATTAGCCAGCTAAAGACAATGACGCACTTATCTTCTAGGCTAAGAGCCGGGAGCAGTTATCACTATAACCTTGATCTCGCTATGACGGAATCCGATTGTACCAAAGTACGGCAGCACTGATAATTGTCATATCGCATCCTTCAAATCGTGAGTCAAAAGAAAATAATCCGACCCTTGGATGGCGTTTTACGGTCTTCCCTCCATCAATGCTAGAGCACGAACTCGAGTGGGAACACGTGCATTGTACTGTTGAGCGCGAAGTAGGAAACGAAGGAAACCCTCCTTCATCCCATCTTCTCTAGTGTTCCTTGCTCGTGTTTCTCTTCCATCCAATTTAATGAGTCCATTGGCCACTGTCGGTCTTAATTCTCCAGATAGAGCCTTTCCTCGCCTAAAATTTTTTTCGAGTTACTCATAACTGTCTCCCTGAAGTTAGTAGGAGTAGATGCTTCTTCGATCCGAACTTTCTAGGGCCATATGATAATCTCATTCTGACAATTTTGCCTCTTATACTTTGAATTTGTCCTGGTATACCCTGTGCGACTTTGCTGAGCTGAACTTCACTAAACTCTCCTCACCCTTTGGGATCGAGACTAAGCTGATCTTAGTTACTGGCAATTTGAAAGCCTCTATTCCAATAGATAGATTTCGCTCCCAGGATGAAGTTGGGCTATTTCATCTTCGCCGTGTTCGTCATCGGTCCTGCCTCTGCTCAGTGGGAGGAATTCATCGGCCAGATCGTCACAAAAGTGATGGGGTGAGTCGAACATACATTGGAGGAGTTGTTAACGTAGCGCTTCGGTTATGGGATAGAGTTTTGCAGACTGTGGAAGGACGAGCAGGTGGAGTTTCTGGGTCATCGATGCGACTACTCCATGTCCCCCGGCTTCTACAGGTGGCAACTGCATTACAAGACGAAAGTGATGTGTCCTGGCTGGACCACCATCATCGGGCGAGGTCTACTGCCACAACCAGTACTTCGCTTCTCTTTCATATCTGCGGTTCCCCTTTTTCGACGTATTCATTTTGTATTTTCCAGCTAAGACCAGGAGTCCAAGCGGATCTTTGGAGCAAGCCACAAAGGACTTCGTGAGCAAGGCTTTAAAAGCAGGTCAGGAATAACTCTAATGGAAGGGTTTCTTTCAAGTTTTGAAGACTCGTTTGGATCTGAAATGTTCCATCATCTCTTTGGAATTCGTGACCTAGGACTGGTGACAGAAGAGCAGGTGAAAGACATTATTCGTGCCTAAAGAAAGAGACGAAACGATTTTCCGCTGCCCTGCCTGGAACCACATGATATAAACGTTGATTTAATCATGGGTCTCAATGTTCATGGTTTCATCCTCGACTACTCAGTCTTTACAGAAATAACTTTTAGACATGATGTACCGCCTCATATTTACATTCCGGCCAGCAAGGACGGGAGCCGAGAGCAGAAGATCTGAGAGGAAGAGCAACTTATCACCCTTTTTCGGGTGATAATTTGAGGGAAGGGTTTAGTCACCAGAGGACAACAAAACGTACCAGGTGATCTATGGGTCCTTTTATCCAATTTCTCGCAATGTGGCTACGGATTCATAGAATTCCTTTGTGTCATCACCCAGGTCACATCATCGAATTATCTTGGTGAATTGCTTCTTGAATTCATGATTCGTCGCCATTCCAGTAGTCTTAGTTTATTTTCTAAATTTACATTTTCAAGTTTCCCTGAAGCATCGCTTCCCTATAGTACAATGTACATTCATGATTGGAGAAGTACATATTGTTAGGTAACAAGCTTGCTTGAAGAGCGCATTGTGAAATGGAGGAAGGAGCCCGCCGGCTGGTTATATTAAATACAAACAATCCTACGTGAATGATCGTTCGAACCGGCTCGAGAGCAAACACCGGAACCGGACTACTCCACTAATGGACTCTTCGGTTTTGTTCATTTCGTTTTATATGGTATCGGGTGCACGAAGGGAGAGAGTAGATGAAAATAGTGGTTTCCCGTTTCATATGCATAAATATTAAACATTGTACAGTGACTTCTATCTGTCAAAAAAAGTCGTGTGGTAGCGACGGTTCGTCATATGTAAAAAGAGGCATGGCGCAGAAGAGGATTCGTACTTGAGACTTCTGGATTGCAGCTTCCTGCGTGTTTCCAGTGCGCGACTCTGACCCTTACGTATTTTTGACCTTTTGTATGAAGGGCATGACCCCTAGCGAGAAAGGAAAACTTACCATCCAAGGTCCATATTGAGCGGAAAATAACCGAAATTAGGAGCATACATCCGTTCATTCGCGAAATTACACCATCCCTCCTCTTGGGGGAATGCAGCAGACGACTATTAGGGAGGAGAGGGTAGGTCATGGCGTCACATGGACGCTCAACGGTAGCCTTTTACCGAAGGTTACTAAAGACGAGGTTGGGGCAATAGGAGCTTCATTTACGAGCGCAGATGAGTTAAGGAGAACCTATCCTTGTGACGTCACAGGGGAGCCTCTTTTGAATGGGGCTTGGAAGCGGCTCGGTCGGTAGCTTCCTCTTCTCCCATGACGGGGGATCCAGATTCGAAACTAAATAAATCAGGCGGTTTTTTCCGAGTGCAAGCCCGTCGGAGAACCCTATGCATTAGGTAATTCCGTCTCCAGACATGGGATATTCAATACCTCAGTGGTGAAGGTTTAAAAATTGAGAGGTTACTTGATTCATCCAGATTAGAGGAGCTATGAGGATGGTGGGAAGAGCTAGAGGGATGCTAGAGTGACAGTGAATACTACGCTACGAACGAATATTACCTCACCTTACAAGTCTTCCTTGGGAAGAGGACAATCCCAATGCAAATGAAAAATCCCTGATAGGAGGTATAGAGATTGCCAGGTTTCTTTTCTGGAATATCATTCATTGGACCTACTCTTTTGGCTGCACCTAAATGGGTTTTTTTCTTCAAAAATTTATTTTTTCATGGATGGATGGTTTGGATGAGGAAGTCTCGTATTGGTACGCTGCAGGTTTTTTTTCCCTGAGAAAGGAGGAAGGTTTAATTTTGTTGATAAGTTTATATGAATGTTTACCATGTCACCCCGCGAATACATTTTTCTGTCTCGTAATTTGGACCTATGTGTCAGTAGGTATGAAGATCCCAATAGGATAGATATACTGGTACTTGCATTTGTTAACTTATTTCACAATTGAGTATTTGTGAATACTCCTTGGTGAACGAGTTTTTGAATCATAGACACATTTCCTCGTAGATCTTCGACGACCGTTCCTTTTTTGCACCACCTGAGGGAAAATACTTTTTCTCAACTTCATATTCTCCTGAGCTCTCTTCAGCTTCTGACGAAGGATTTCTACCTCTAAACAATGAGCATTTATGGTCATCCGTTAGGATGACTTTATGTCATTGTTCCCATCCTCATGAGGAGACCTGCTGGTCCTCCATCAGTTGAAATGGATCGTCAGACCGTCAAATGGTCAAAATTTCACGTTAGACGCCTAACGTGAATGTGGGAGGTTGCGTTGTATCTTCGGCAAGATTCTCTATTGGTACGGCATCTTTTTCAAGGGCCTTATAGCGTTTCGATCATGATAGGAATCTAAGGAGAAGGGATGCGAACACACAAAATCATATCTGTGGAAGGATTTTCTTCAAAGCAATTCAAACCATTAAATTTCTCCCGCTAGACATATTGGAAATGCATGGAAGGAAATATTTCATGCCTGCAGAGTCCTACAAGTATTCCTTGAAGATGCGACAATGCAATCCATGCTACTGTCCTTCATAACAAGAGCTACTAAGAGAGTGAATGAAATAAAGAAACCTAAGAATATTGTCGAAATCAACGAACTTGTCGGCAATGTATGTACGATGCTGCCTAGGTGGCTCTGATAAACGAGAGTAGATGTATTACAGCTATGAGAGACATGAGGAAGCGTGTGCGACCAGTCTTAGCCTTAGGCAGGGAGGTAGTGATCAAAGACCTTATACTAAGAAGACTGGGCACTCTGTGGCGGCGCCTTTGATGTCCGAGAAACCTCCTGCCCTGGTGTTTGGCCCCGGAACTACGCAGAACTGACCAATGGGATCATTGGATTGGAATGTCGCGTGAAATATGGCTGCCTTTGGATGCAAGTACTGCGTCTACATACCATGCCAGGAGAAATTTGGCCAAATGGATGGAGATGTTCCGCTGCATCGGTNAATGGAAGAGTCCAAACGTTGTGGCGGCCGTCGCTCCTAACTCGCGAGGCCTACGATGCTAAGTCATTCCAGGTCATTCAAGGCCTAAAGCGCCAGGCCTTCAAGGCTCTTCGCTTCCGTTTTCACTGTGGAAACCGACTCGGCACCGACTTTGGAGGAGGTGACCTCGGCGCCCATCGAGGATATTTCCATCACCGAGGAGACGATCGTGAACATGATAGGGAAGGTGGCGGTGGGCAAGGCCAAAGACCTTCTACTAAGAAGACTGGGCACTCTGTAGCGGCGCCTTTGATGTCCGAGAAACCTCCTGCCCTGGTGTTTGGCCCCGGAACTACGCAGAACTGACCAATGGAATCATTGGATTGGAATGTCGCGTGAAATATGGCTGCCTTTGGATGCAAGTACTGCGCCTACATACCATGCCAGGAGAAATTTGGCCAAATGGATGGAGATGTTCCGCTGCATCGGTTTCACATGGATCCGGAAAGACACGCGCATGCGTTCGCCTAGGGCTTTGCACTAGGCCTTTAGTCATGGCTTTACATATACGAGCCTGTAACAGGCGAATGAAGTAAAATGCTGAGTAGCCTAACGAAAAGGTCAACATTTTCGCGTCTCGGGTTGACAGGCCTGTTAGAATGGGATGGCTTCAATTTTGAAGGGACAAAAACAGGCTGTGGATAATTATCTTGCAGGTTCGCACTGTATTTACAGCCGTACTAGAGCGGCCTGCGGCCGACACGCTGGTTGAGTAATAGATTAAAAGTACACCAAGATTTTTATGGCCTAGAATGGCATAGCCTTGTAGGCCTTGCGTGTTAGGTCGCAGGTGGGTGACAGCCATTCACTACCCCTTTCGGCCTCTTTCAATTTTTATGGCCCAGCCTCCTATGGCCCAGAATAGAAGAGCCTTGAAGGCCTGGCGCTTTAGGCCTTGAATGACCTGGAATGACTTAGCATCGTAGGCCTCGCGAGTTAGGAGCGACGGCCGCCACAACGTTTGGACTCTTCCATTTAAAGTATTAGATATCAGATTAGATTAGGTGTTCTTGAGGTCCATTTGGGTTACAGCTGGCGTCTACTCGCACACATTGTTGCTGGCAGCTAAGCCAAAATGTTCTCGGCAAAAGATAAAATTGCCATTGGGATTCAGAGATATCCAGTTCATGAAAATAATTCAGTTTGTAATTTGACAAAAAATAAACTGATTCCCTGTTACATAGGTAACCTACGCAGCATGCATCGTCTTGCAATTCTGTCTGAATTCAAGAATCCTAGCCCCCCCTGGGGAGATTCTCCGAACATGTTTTCCCAACTCCTCTTCATGGTTTTCCGCCAGACATGTCAATCAGTCACGCGCAATAGGAATGGCGTCAGATTTCGGGCGCGAATTCGTTCAAGAGACACTAGCGCTCTGCTCCAGGAAGCGTTGACGTTAGTTCGAGGGCCAACCACCAGGGCATAGACCGCCATTGCGGTTACCCTGCTTTCGCGCAGAGTGCCCAGTCTTCTTAGTATAAGGTCTTTGGTAGTGATATCCTCAAGGCCAAAGTGCCCGCTTTTATAGTGGAACGTTTCGCTGACGTCATCACATGCGCAAGATTTTACCCCCACCTCTTCGACCCCCCCTGGTTTAGCTTCTTCGCCCCATCACCTTCCCTCCGACCCGTGCGAGTAGCTCCTGCGTCTCGAAGGATCCCCATTTAACCGCTTACTTCATTCTTCGAGTCCAGTTTCATACAGTGCTAGTATTCCGTTTGGTGCGTTGGTGATGCACCACGTATCGTCAGTATGGTAAGATCCGACTGTTAACGATAGACAGTTAACAGTCGTGTAAGATTACATGAATTCCTATGGGAGAAAAAGTGTTCCTTCGCTGAAAGGCCCGGTTATCTCTCCTAAATTAGGTTTGTCTGACGTTAAAAGAACACCAGTATTTGTAGCCTATAATCTTGAAACGAATTGGTGGGTCCGCAAATATTTTCGGAAAGTCTCTCCTGCCCTCGAGATCGTAGACTCGTCCTGCCCTGCCCCCCTGACTCATCAGAAAAAAATTTAGCCACTGTGTACGAATTCAATCCGTCTGAAAACTGCGTATTTCCTGTACCCTTTGAAGGTCCGGCCTAGCCCTTCATCACCGCGGATACCTAATATTATATTCCAATTTCATCGATGATTTTGCTTTTAACTCGGTGCCAGACTCCACCCTCCGTACTGAGTGTTATGCACGTTTTCATTACATTGCTATAATGGTTTGCGACTGAAGCAGTGACAGCTGCTTCGTTGAAGAAAATAAAAATGCCCCATCGGTGGTGGGCGATAACTTGACATTATGTTGAATGAACATGTGCTCTACGTGTTGACGGATGAAAGTGCCCCCTGACGGATCTTCAGAGGGATGTTAAGAACAACTCCAGAGAAACACGTGGTAGCCTACCGTTACACATTCTCGCTGAGATGGCTCGAGAAAGTGAGATGAACAAATCATAGGCTTTCCATGCAACGATTGCGACTCTCGGGAAAAATTTGTCCTCCGTGTGATGCGTTTTTATCGCATCGAAAATTTGATGCGATAACCGTTTCCAAAGTTCGATGCGATAAAGACACATCACATGGAGGCCAGACTTCTTCGCGAGAAAAATGCATCGAGCTGAGGCACAGAATTTTCTGTGTATACAAGTAAGAGAGGAACGAAACAAGTGCCGGTAAAGGCAAAGAAAGGAAGGGATGGCTGGAACTTTTTCCTAAGTCGGCCGTGGAACCACTCCCTTGGTTCGATTCCCTGGTGTCTAGGCAACCAAATGCAAAGCCACACATTTCCTCATTGATCGGAATGGCCTTATTCTAGTGCGCAGGAATCCACCTCAACGGATATATCGCACTTCCTAAACCTTCAATAGTTTCCTTCCGACATTAGTGTGATGAGTGTACATCACGCCTAAAACTGGTCTGTTTCAAAGTAATCATGAAACCCTTTCATTTCGCAGAAATGAAGTGCTACGAGAGCGAATTATATATTACATTTGATTTTTGCACTTCCTAGAAAACCAATTTTAGGAAATAATTATGGCAACTTTGTATTCATGCTATGTTTCATTTTATATTATATGAGTTGCTGCTTCACGTAATAGTCTCTTATTGGGGGAAGATGCTCCATAAAAAAATTTGCCATTGCATCACACAACCGCCTGACTTTCGTTCGTAGGGTCTGTGGGCCCTATTTAACTGGTCACATTAAAAGCATGAGCAATTGGAGACCATTAGGTTGAGTCACGCTGTCTCGAGTTCATTTGTCTTTCCTCTTCGTCTTGGTGCCTTCTCTTGTGGACTTAGATATGGAACTATCTGCGAACTATCAATCAATGAACCACTCGGCTGCTCGTCACAAAATAGCAGTGAGGCCCAATAAGACTCACGGACTTCCTCGGAGTAGACAGCTGGTATCACATTTACATTTCGGCTCGCAAAGAATGCGCTCGCATTGCCCTAAAATGATGATGTGTCGATCTTTTCCGTGCTCATAGTTGTTACAACGGACCAGTACCGCCATCCTGCATACCCTGCCGGAGGTGAAAAAGGAGTCCAGGTGAGGAGTTCCTTCGTCTCGCGCTACCCCACATGCCTCTTCCCACCAATACGTTCAATATTGGAGGTCATACTCATCCAAGTGTAGCAGCAACTGTCCTAGCGCAAATGTGTTCAACGCGGAAAATCGGGTAGTCCAAATTGGACTACCCGATTTTCCTGAAGTAGAGTTTCGACTAACGGTAGCAATATTTCCCAGCTAAGTTTCCCAAATAGAACTCATATCAGATTGGGACGATCATCGATGTGCATGAGTTATCTGCAAGGTAACATTATGTCATTGCAGGTGCGTAATAAACTGCAAGGTACTACCAATTAGATGACGACACTTTTTGGAAATTTTCAGTAACTAACCCAACAGTATTTAGACCTCAATGTTAACATCCTCATCTGACCTACCACTGCTAATAATTTTTTCTTCTCCTTCCACAGTAAGACCTCAGATAATTACCGATCATCTCCATCTGCAACACGCTCCTGGGCTGGAATCGTAAAGGGAAACAGTTTGCATGAGTTAGAAAGCATTCTTATTGAATGTGTTAATAATAGGATACAACTCGCACATGGGCACATGCACCATAATGGAACAATAGTAAATCCTTCAAATATGGAGATTAAATGTAGGTAGATGATAAATCTTTGGAGAAACGAAGCATCAAAACTCTAATTTTCTGATCTTCACGAACAAGATTTTCACATAGGGCTTTAATAAGCCCATCGATTCCAAAACTCACCATTTTAACTCTCGGTGTGTTGCAAATATTGGCTGTGCTTCTTATTACATTCCATACTCTACATTTGCTACAAATAGCGACCATAATCTGCCATTGCAATTTTAAACATTTTCAGCGCAAAAATGTACCCGTTTTGGAATGCATAAGGGGAAAGAATGATCATGTTTGTATCAGAAAGCCAATAATCTCGGAATATTAGTTGAAAGGCAAACATTTTTCACCAATCATTCTTCATTCTGAAAAAGTAGCTGGAATCCTTCTTTTACAGAAAATATTCAAATTGACAAGGCATGTATTTGTTACTTTAGCGCCATACAACTCACACTTCATCAGCTTTCATTGCGTTTATTTCAATAAAATACAGTCATATGTAATGTACAAAGGAGTCTGGAGGACTGTAACCTTTTCATCCTGTTCCACAATGTATACTGTATAGTATGAACTATTTATTTCCCTGTACATCAAACCACTGTTCCACTTCAACACATGGCTTTTGATATCCATCTTGTAATGTGATTTTCTTGTTGGTGACATCTCCGGAAAACTGCATGCTACAATTAAATATCTGAATGGAACTGCGTCTTCTATGTAGCACGTGCAAGTATAGCCGGCAGCAAGGTTCAGACTACAAAAAGTTGCATAAGAATTTCACAACCATTTTCACAACCCTCCCATGTTCATCTTCCTTCGGACCGATTGGTTGTGAAAAATGAGGCTATATTTATTGATACATTGAAAGTTCCTTCCTAAAAGCATGGCATAATTCCATGATGCATGCTTCATTAGAGGTAACTGTCATCATAGCCGTCAACGAGCACTGTGCAGACCTTTGTTGATGTGTCTTTTCAGCTACCAAAAAACTCCACCGACTTGTACTGAATATCTTTAGACAAACTCTGAAAGTGAAAAGTGTTATTCTGGACATTAAATACGTACTTTGATCAGGATTCTCTGTAGCATTTTATAGAACGAAAATAACTTGGAAGTTGAAATATGTCCGTTTTGTAATAATTTATGGAACTGCTTGGTTCCCTTTCAGGAGCGGAGAAAAATGTAGCAGTGAGGCGAGGTCTCCATTACATATCCAAGCATCGTCCTCTACCTTTGGAAAAGCTGCTCATGTTGGAGCTTCCTTACGTGCAGACCGAAATCGCGAGGAGGAACATGTTAGACGGAGAAAGATAGGAGAAGAAAATACTTGGAGGGGCAGGGCAAAATCGCTGGAATTTGACATGGATGAGGTGATTGTGACGGGGCAGTTTGTAGGGAATACCATATCCTCGGAAACTAATGGATATGCTGAAAATGGAAAATCAGGGGAAGAAGAGGAATCGACTGAAAGTCGGAGGAGGAACCTCTTTGGGGATATTTTACGAAATAATGTCCGTCGAGATTTTCTTCTTTTTGGATCGAAATTTCCTGATAGTACTCAAACAAATCGCTTTGTTGAGGAAAGCGAATGTAAAAATTTGGAAGTAGTAGAGGACAACAGCAATAAGCTTCATCAACATCCAAAAAGACAAGTGCCGGTGGAGTCTGCGCGCACAGGATACATCAAAGAAACCCACTCTCATGGACAAAAATCAGATGAAGGCAAGCATTCACCCCCTGCCAAGCACAACGGTATCACGCGACAGAAAGACCCCAGCAGATTAGGACATTCCAGAGAAACTCCAGTGAGTTTGAGACGCAAATCCGAAGAGCCAAAAGATGGGCTGCCAGAACTAATGAAAGTATTCCACAGACGATCTCTGAAGAACGGGGATGATACAGCCCATTTCCATCAAAAGATTTATCAGATGAGTCGGAGTCAAACAGAACCTATGAATCTCGCTCTGGACGGTACGGCTGCCCCTATCCATAAAGCACGTGCAAATTCCTCATCTCTATCTGCAGCTATAACGATCCCTGTTAAAGGAGCCATGCCAGCTTCCTAGCCAGAGGAAATATCTGAGTTCATTTCCACAAGAACGTTGCATGCCATGCAATCAGCTACCCAAGACATAATTGATAGAAGAATCACCTAAGCGTGCCTTCACCACAGGTCCAACTTCATGGAATCGAACTGATGGCTTCATTGCAGGTCCTATTGGAAAGACTCAAGAAAATCGTGAGAAATCCGGTTAGGATTTCATTCCCTCTATAAGTTTCAAACCTCCCACTGAAAATATATCAGTTGGTATCATGTAATGAGGACTGCAATTCCAAGGAAGTACTGGGACGTGGCCAACCAGTAAATCTTCGTCCACGAACTTCGCGACTTCGTGAACAGTTTTCTGAAACTGCGGATCAGATCTACTTCGTGACGCCCACCCGTGACGAATTCCAGTCCTTCCTGTCTGTGCTAAATTTGTGTAACTGAACTCCAACCTTTTTCGCCTGTATGTGAAGAATTCTAAGCAATTGCTGCGATAATGACTTTTGTCTACCGAGAATTTATCTCAGAGGATTTCCAACCCTAAGATTTCTCTTCCAGTTTTCTTTTCGAGCAGCATTTTAGTTAAAATCTGACTTCGTTCTGGTGATTTGAGTCAAATAAGCAACTCCCTGTCTCCAATGTTGTCCTGTCATAAACGAATCTATCATTAATGCAATATAATTACTGTATAATAAGTGACAGATTTCCTCCCTCATGTTGGTTGCGTTCCTTTCATGGCCTCATGGCATTGGGATTTCTTTTTGTTGCTGATGTTGGTTTTAAAGTGCATGGAAATTCTTTGTGTTCGTAGCAGAAGCTGGATAAAATAACAAAAATGAACGACCTTGAAGAACTTTCATGCTTCCTACTTTAAAGAAGAACTCTGTAGCACATATTATGAAGGTTTTTTTTTACATATTACACATACATATTACTTATATTAAAATAATTTTTTTCATCCGTTGATAATAAAGGGAAAACATGCTGAAGTTACACGTTATAATCCTTGCTAAACGCACTGATGCAATGAAGGCAAAAGTTCATCTGGTCCAGATAACATTGAACATCATAGTAAATATATATAACTATCAATAGCTCGGACTCGTGCTGGCTATAGGTCTAGCTTGATCGGCATGATTATCTCACTAATATATATATATATATATATATATGGATATAACATTAATGGATGAATACATTGGAGTGAATAAGCTTCATTAATATGAAGTAGAGTTGGTGAGGTACATCGTGGTACTTGGGCAATCGTTTCTATTGTAGAATCCTTTTTTCTTTGAAGGAAACCTGCAAGTAATTACTGTAGGTCAGGGCCCCTAGGACCACATTTTCCTGCGTGCCATAGGCTGAGTACCACATCTAAAGAGTTTAGCCGTGCACAACATTGTTCACTGTGATGAACCATGGGCGCGATTCTTTGAGTACAGACAGGATTTTCATGCTGGAGGCCCTTCGGCAATTCTTGAGAAAAAGGAAGGAAACGGAAAGAAACGCTAGAAAATATTGATAGTAATCAAGTCTCAAGATACCAGTAGTGATTGTATTTTTTTGTTGATATTTCGTTCGCTTACGATGGATATTTATGAACATGGGGGAAACGGAGATGACCGTGCAGCAATATGAGAAGAATATTGAAGTAGCATTGTTGGCTTTGCGGGAAGGTAGGAAGCAAGTTGAAAAAACGGAGACGGCAATAATGGTGCGTGAAATGAATGTTCAAGAAACGGAGATGATTTTGAAGAAGAATGAGAAAAATGCAGAGAAAACAAGGACGGATATAGAGGCGAGTGACCAGAATATCGAGGAGACGAAGGTAATTAAGATGTCCCAAGTCACAAAAAACGGAAACATGAATTGTCCAAGTTGGTAGAGTGCTAATTTCACAATCTTCCATGTTTTGTTAATTTTTTCATGTTTTCTCGTCTGAAGTAAGATGTTGAAACATTAGTTTTTACTCATTTTAACCACACTCTAACTATCAAGTCCCTGGGGGCCGTAATTTTGCTTTCCATTGCAATAAATATCTGCAATGAATCAGGACACTAGAGTCTGAGACATCATCTGGCTTATCATGAATTGTATCTGTAACAGCCTATGAAAATGAAACCTAGCGAGTCGGATCTTTAGATGAGATTCATTCAAATGGATGTAGAATTTGTGGTTCTATGAAGCACTCCATGAAGAGTTTCTGCCTCAAGCCTGTTTTCTCATATTCTTGTAGTTCTTTTGAAAACATTCTTATTCACCAATTCTGTAACTAATTATTCATGCCAGCAACTCACCCAATGTAAACTGTAAATGAAAGAAATGCTTTCCTCTGAGTTTTGGAGATTTCACGTTGTGAAACACCTATGTATAGATTGTAAATGGAATCAAAGAAATACTTTTTCATAACTGTTGCAACAGATATAGCTTCCTTGACAACCTTATGAGAGAGTCGATGTTCCATTTCCATAGCTAATCAATGGTATTATTTCCAAAGTTTGTTCAAAATGTTTGGTAACCTTATATCTTGAATGGGGATCAGTTACTGCAGCAAGAAACAAAGATAATATAATGTTACTTCAATGTTACGCAGATGCCCTGTTATTTTTTTACTCACCCTCATATGTGGTGAGCTTTAATACCCCCAGGAGAAATCAGGCCTTTCTACATTTTCACCATACAACCTGCGCAGTCGCACGTAACACATTGATCATCGAAATCCAGAATCCAGACTTTCAGGCGCAAGTAGTTTCCATAAAATTTTGCTTCAAACTCGGATAAACGGAGTTGAAGGCTTGCGACACGCTCCGTACAGTTTTTTGAGAGTCTACTCCAACAAATAGCAAGCTTTTTTATTTCGTATGGGCAGGGCCGGATGAAGAAGTTGCGAGGCCCAGGACAAGTGAATTCCTGGGGCTCCCCCCCCTCCCCTCCCACTACTTTACGCAAATACTTAACATTTTATTTTGCTTAGGGGGGGCCTGGAGCAACAGCCCCCTTTGCCCCCCCACCCTTAAACCGGCCCTGCGTATGGGCTTTTCCGTGATGTCCGTGAATCAACCTTAGACAACTAATGCTCCTGACGCCCTTCGAGGTCACAAATCGATGTAGGCGTCGAGCGCGAAAACAATCGGGTGCACTTTCAAAATTTGATCACAAAGCAAAGCTTTTTTTCGCGCTTTCTTGCTGCAGAACGGAAGCAGCAACGCGTCAGTATTTTTCAGGATTTGTTGACCGGCGGCGCCAGTCAATAGATCCTGACCTGCTTCCCATCATCACGGGCGATGAAAAATTGGTTTATGGTTACGACCCCGAAACCAAAAGCCAGAGTTCGCAACGGAAGGTGAAAAATTCGCCGAGACCCAAAACGGCGCGACGGCAAGAGTCAAAATTGAAGGTGATGTCGATCCTATTCCTTAACTCTACAGGACTGCTTCGCGAATTTGTACAGGAGGGTGAAACGGTGAACTTGGGAGTCCTGAACAGAGTTCGGATTCTGCGTTACAACACCCCGGTCCGCACCGCCCTCTCGGTGCGACAGTTCTTAGCATTGAATGACATCCTTGTGTTTCACCTTGCCCCTCGTCTACTGACATCTGGTTTGATGATGAGATTCGAATGAGGACTGAAACTCTTCTGGAGATAGAGCAAATCAGTGTCATGTGAACTCCATGAAACGAAGAAGCGTCATGAGAATGATCGAGAGAGACATAGAGCAAGGAATTACTGGCATGGGGTCGAGAGGGAACTCACTTTTCTTTTTGAGTCCTCAGAAATCAGGCCGCAGAGGCGTCGGACATCTCAATTTTTTTTATTTTACGAACATGATACAGTCCAATTCCTATGGATATTTTTCTTGCAATACCGATTTAAAATATTTCAAGATATATTCATTAGTTTTCGTCAAGTAAAGTCCTGAAACGTAAGGTTTGAGTGAAATCCAACATGGGTCATGTATAATTTGAAAGGGTGTCCTTTGTAAAATCGAAAATACCAATTTTATTCAAAAGTTTGCAGAAGTGCTTTCAAAAGTTTGGTTAGATTGGGAGAGGTAACAAGGAAATCCCATTGGATTTGGAAGGATGAGTACTTCAGAACAATGACAAGTATTAATACTTCAGAAGATGTGCTTTAAAAATTTAATGAGTTGAAACGCATGGCGGCTTTAAGAAATCAGATTGACTCAATTAAATAACGCTTAAACGATATGGAATGCTGATAGCCAAATAAACATTTGTTTCAGTGAAGGAGACTATTACACTTATGCCTAATATTCTTCCAATTTTTGGGTGAATTTGAAGGATTTCCACAGAATAAAAAATATTCAACGACTGGTAATGTCGAATGCATTCATTCGAAGGTAGCCTAATCTGAAATTGAAAATATAATCTAACCTAACCAAACTTAACCCTACATGTATTTTTTAATTGCTCGGATTTAAAAAGAATTTGTTTTTAGGTTTGGCTCAGGAGACCCTCTCCTAATAGAAGGGCCAACTGAAAAGTACTTGGCCTAAGTAGAAAGGAATTAGCAAGGAGCAATGTCGCTTCAACACTTTTCAACATGGTCCCCTTGGGCGTGTATGCATTTGTTCTACTAGAGTCAAAAAGCCATTATCCCATGATCGCCAAAACCATAGTCGTAGCATATGGGTATAGTGATGGCCAAGATGATGGCTTTTCGATCAAGGTACTTCTGCAGCATGTAGTCCACGTCCGTGAACATCATTAATGTTAATTACCGGTGGAACATGCGACTTCTAAAGCAGAGTACCAACATAAACATTAAGCCAGTATAAACAACCAATGTTTTGTTTTTAAAAAATGATGAACCATTACAGGGATACATTTGAGGAAGAATGTGGATATCCCAAATAATGCTTGAAAACGTGGTACGCCTAAATGGCAACACTCACAAAAAAAAACATTTTGGTTGGATAGGACGAAAGAAAATCGATTGCGACTAGACTATTGGGTTGTTGGTTCCCATTGAAACATGTTATCATACTTATGCGACTAATAATGTGTTTGGAGTTGGGTTTAGAAATGGAATTCTGAAAATAATCGTAAAAATTGTAATTGAGAGCGACAATTTTCGCTCCTTCAATCCTGCAATGTTCTTGAAAAGTGTGGTATTAAAGAACAAAGCTAATAGATGCAGTTCGGTAAGCACTAAACATTCCACGGAAAAGCACCCACTAGCATTTTATAAGTCAACCCTTTCAGACCTGAACGAAAGCGACTATGGGAAAAATATCAATTTGTGTGTTTTTCCACATACCAGACCTCATACTCGCCTAATTCTGAAGGACACGGCGAAGGATGCTGGCCGTGCCCAAGATTGCTGTATGCTGGAGAATATCCAGTGAAATTTCACACTCCAGCTATGGGACCTCCAGGCCGGCTTGCTTTGAGACACACCAGTGCACATATTTGCACACTTGGTCGTACAAGTACTCCCTCGGGGCTAATTCGGGGCAGGCACTGAGGAGGTGGTGAACCCTTTCGGGTGGTCCATGACAGCATCTGCAGCGGTCTTCCACATCTAGCTTCAGGATGTGTTTCTCGTATTTTCGAGTTCTAATACACTGGTCCTGTATGGTTAGGATGTTGCTCTCTGTTTCGGCATTCAGCAGTCCCTTCTATAGCCAGTTATAGCTGACGTATGAGTCGATCAATGGTTTATCCATGATCCTGGGATGCTGGCCGTGAAGCGGTTTCTCCTTCCATCGTGCTTCTCTTTGTCCTTTATCTGCCGTCGTCACATCCTTCGTGTCGCAGTCATCATGGAGATGCAGTGCGTTTCGGAAGAGGGTGGCACCTCCCTGGATGGAGTGGGACTTCTTCAGGGCATATCGCTTTCTCGGGATGGAAATGAGTATTTTCTGCTTCCTTTCGATGTATCTGGCGACTTCGCACGTCGTCTGCTTATAGAGGGACTCGAGTTCGATCAGTCCCTTCCCTCCCTTGCATCTCGGAAGGTAGAGTCTTTCAACGGCAGCCTTCGGATGGTGGGTGTGATGCATGGTCAGGAGTTTTCTGTTCGCTCGATCGATGGCTTTGGGAGTGAATCCCTTGCATCTCCGAAGGTAGAGTCTTTCAACGGCAGCCTTCGGATGGTGGGTGTGATGCATGGTCAGGAGTTTTCTGTTCGCTCGATCGATGGCTTGGAGTTCCGTAGGTGACCGATCGATAATTCCGAAGCTGTAGTTAAGAACAGGGGTGGCAAGGCTGTAGAAGGCAGAGATCTTGTTTTAGCCGGACAGCTCGGTCTTTATTACGAGGCGGACTCTGCGTTTGTATACTGTCGTCGTCGTGTGTTATATATAAATATACAATTGTGTTATGCATATCTGATAGCCTATAGTGGGCTTAATATAGAGCAGTGATACCCAACCTTTCTCGGTCACATAGCTCACTCCCAAAGCCATCGTGGTCCATATGCAATCATGATTATTGCAGAATCTTTTTTTTAACGGAATCCTGCTAGTATTTCTGGTGGATCAGGGCTCTAAGGGACACCTTTGCCCGTGGGACCTGTGTTTGGCACCACTGCTAAAGAGTTTAGCGGTGCGCAACAATGTTCACTGTAATGAACCATGGGGAGTATTCAGTGAGTAGAGACATGATTTTCAAACTGTTGCTCCTTCAATTCTTCCACCAATTCTTGAGACATAGGGCTGAAACGGGGAAAAAGTTAGAAAAGAGCAATCAAGTCTCAAGATACTAGCAGTGATCGTATTTTTTTATTTTCTGATGTTTCATTCTCCAACAATGGAAATGTATTATTAGGTAAGAGCACAAAAATCCAGTCCCTTGTCATGAGAATTACAAGAACGCAGGCGAAAGAAATTTGATGTCTTCCCTAATGGAGTCTGGGTCTGAAAGGGTTAACTTACTAACGGGTGTGATGAGTACACTCATCAAAGCCACTCTTTATTCATTCCATAAAACATTGTTTCCCTTGAATGAAAATGTGTCAAGTGAAGTTCCATTGCACTCACGAATAGCGACAGAAAAATGTACTCATACCACCATGCCACCAGCGTGCGAAAACTTGAAAATTAACAGAAGAATAGTAGAAAAAAAATTTTTTAATAAGACGCTCAAGCTGTGTCTATTTATAGCCAAGTCCCGATCACCAGCAGCTTCAAAAGACTATGCACCAAGGATCACGATACACTGACGACATAACAGTCCTAATCGATGCGCTTCATTTTGTCTTCCATTACTCAGGTTTTGGCGAAACCTTTCACTTGCCGCCCCTTAATAAACGATGGAAAGCATTGCCATCTGAATATGATATTGAGTTTTGGGTACCTTATCTAGTTGGGGAGTCATAGTAACACAATGTCAAAAGTGGAAAAATTAGCACGGTTTATGTCACTGTGAAACAACCACATAAACATGCATACATTTTTGAGACGGTATTTCCCAACTTAATGCGATCGTAAAATCGAGGTGAATCATTCGGCGAAGAATTTTCATGTCCGGGTATCGACTAAGCGGCCCTTATCTTAATGGACCAAGGCGCAAATAGCCCCTACGAGATAAAAGCGAAAGTTGGATAAAGACAATGATGTGTAACGCGGAAAAATGTTTTTTTTTTTTTCGATTCCACGTCATTATAATGCGGACGTGTGAAACAGGACTTGATACTCTTGGGTTCCTTCATTCCGCTGCCCCGAGAAGGTTTCCCTTTCACATCGATTGGTCACTTCTATCAGGACGTGACATTTTCGCGGTGGGTTTTTATTAGTCTCAACAGGCTATCAATACTGGCGAGTCCCACGCCATTCACTAGCGTAATATTGAGCCGAGAGGAGTGTCCGGTACGTTTCATTCGTGCTATCGAGCAAAAACAGTGAACTGAGTGTTTGAGTTCGTGTGTGTTGTGTCTCTTTAACGTTTGGAGATGCGGCAAAGGGTGATAGTTCTAGAGGCATAGGGATCCGTGAATTGACAGACCTCTACCTGGCCTGGTGGTCTATTAAATAGTGCAGCGATTCCGGTGAATATTCATTTCATTTAAATTTTATTTCCTATTTCAATAACGTGCTCAAATAATTCCAGTGGTTTCTTGCATTACTGCCTAATCTGCGATTGCCTGATAATCAGAAACATTCTTGCTAGGTTTAAGCAATATTTGTGGCATCACATTCTCCACCCATCAGAGGTGTCCACAAGAATAATTTACTAGATTCTAGTTATTATGGTCCTTTCTGATTAAAATTTGATACTCCATTGAAACTTCATCAAACAAAATCCCGCAAAAAAAAGCATACTTTGCTTCAGCATGTTCCCTGTTTCAACCATGATTCTTATGATGAATCTGTTCGCCATCATGAAGACTGGTCCTTTGAGAGCATGGTTTGTCTGCACCGTGGAGTATCCAAATGCCTAGTAGAGCATCGACCAGGTAAACTGGAAAGGTATTGCCATTGTTGATAAACAGACAGAAGCACATATTGTCAGGCTCGAGCACATGAGGGAACTCGCCTTAATTTTCCCTGCTCCCATGATTCTGATTAATGTAATAGCGTGAGATAGCTCAGAGTTACGAGATTTGTATGTTTTCTTCTCTATCGGTTTTTTTTTCCAAACTTGTCAAAGTAGTTTCATTTTCTCCTGACAGGTATCCACAAAATAGAAAGCAAGAAAAACAATAAAACCGTGGACGGTGTATCAGAGGCAAGTTGTGGGATGGGAAGTGAGACAGTCATGCGTCAATCATCTGATATAGATGAAGAGCAAGTAGGTGAAAAATACTTAGTGTTGATAGCCAAAACTGAGCATTTGGATTACCTTCATGAGAACAGAAAGAATTTCTGCGAATGGATAACTAGAAAGCTGGAAGAGGATGAAACCTTACTTGACCGCACTTTTTTCACGCATTCTACTGATTTTTATCGAGATGGAAGAGTGCAGACAAATAATGCTCAGTTTCATGCTAAAAAAGGCCAAGGTGAAGAAACCCATGAAAGTCAAGCACTGAATTCCTCAGAAAGGGTGACCGTATGGTGTGCTTTTTCCAAGAAACACCTCATAGGCCCCTTCATAGATTTGTACGAATCGGAAAGCACAGACTTGCTCCGAAAGCCCGAAATGAAATTCTTGATGGCTCTGAATGCATGGGTACAAAAAGAAAACATTGAAAAAAGCAGAGTGTGGTATCAACAGGAAAGTTTCCCAGTGACAGAAGAGATAAAAAGTTATTTCTTTGAACGTATACTCTCTCAATGGCCATCCGCATCTCCGGACCTAACACCTGTATGCTTTTTCCTCTGGGGATTTCTGAAAGAGAAAGTATATGCCCCATCGTTACCGAAGACATTGAATGAGTTGAAAAACAGGCTGAAAGAGGCAATTAGTGGGATTTCTGCTGATATAATTTCCCGTGTATTTTCCCATGCGGAGGACAGATGGATCAACTGCCTTCAACTAGGAGGAAATTACATCGAATCTTACACAAAGACATACGAGCCGAATGTAATCTGGCATGAATTTTCGACTGTCAATCAATCATTCCAACACCTCGGCGGGATTTTTTATTTATTCGGCAGTTGTTTATTTGCTTTCTCGTTTTCTCCGTAGGGAAGGTCTAGGGCCTGCAATCGCCGCAAATGCTTCCTATGTGCAAGAATGAAAGATTGTGTGACTTTAATGATGAAGGGAGAGAAAGGAAAAGAGGAAAAACACCAGGTCGTCGGAGTAGAAGACGGAACCTGCCAGACTCCTTTCGTCATTTATTGCATTGCTTGCAATAGTTGCAACCATCAATACATTGGCAAGTCAAACGATCCTCTCAGCAAGAGAATGAGACAATATCAGACTCAACTTTCGTCAAAGGGGAGAAAAAGGAAAATCGTTCCGGCAAAGCAGAAGACTTCAAAGAAGTCTAAGAATGCCGGAGAAAAGGAAAGGATTGAGGAGGAAGAGGATACTGACGAGGCAATGGATGAAAGCGAAGATGAAGCGGAGAACACTGAGATGGAAGACGAGGCTGTGGAGACGTCGACATCGACGAGTCATTTGGAGAATGTCAAGGGGAAGAAGGTAGTAAAAGGGGTTTTGGCCCACATGAAAATCTGTGCGACTGATCAGTCGAAGCTTTGGGAAAATCTGGAGGTCACCATCTTGCATGTCTCACAGGCAAAGTCTGACAGCTCATTGGATATGCTGGAGACTGAATACATCAGAAAGTATGACCCAGGAATGAACATTCAAAAGAAACTTCCCAATTTGACATAAAAAGCCACTCCCCTCCGAAAGCGTCCAATTTTATCACCACAATAATTTAAAAAGTGGATCGATTTCATAATTCTGCAACTTCTGTTGCTAAATAATAATGTTTGTGGTCAGTGCATATTTAACATGATTGCATGTACTTGGGTTAATGGCATTAAATGATTTCAACTCCTTTAATCTCAATACAGGGTTATAATGCATTTAAGAATCGTACCATCATAACGATATCTCATTGCACGCGATGCTTAGGAAAAACTCCTGTATACGGTATATCTAGATTGTGTGCGATGAGCTGAAAAAATGTAGCTCATACGGAGATATATGGTAATAAATATGAGAAAATACTGCAAAATGAACGAAATGGACTTATCGTTAGAATTTTGCCATCCATGTGCAACTGAATATGAGTTCTTCAAGGTTATATCTTGGTGTGACAGGTTTGTCATTTTGCATGGGATCCAAATAGATTTCATTTGTTTCATTACGACACACTATGGTAAGTCAAAGAACTGGGCGTCATATTTCATGATGGTGAGAAATTCCTTGTTTTTCACAATAAAAAGAATGGGACTTGAGAAATATTTACGTCTGTACCTGAGAGCTGAGAATCTTCTCTGCAATGGTGAGAAGGTGAATATTTCCGTATTCCGCGTTGAGTAGTATGAGGTAAAATAGTTTCCTTGCACCGCCAGTGCATTTAATGTTACGCCAAGGGAATCACAGAAATATAACCCAATGTTACAAAGCTGTTAGCATGAAATGTTTGCTGGTTTCTAATGTTTTGCATTTTGCTGTTTTCCTAGCATACAAAATTTGTAAAATAATTTTTGGACAGTAATCAATTAACTCACTTAATTAACTTTAATTAATCATGTAATTACATAATACTAATAAAATGCAAGTAATTTTATTTAAAATCTGTGCATCCAGCAAAAATTTTACATATATCTCTTCATAACATTGGGATATATTTCTGTGAATCCCAGGTGCAGCTATAAATGCACTGTCGATGCAATCGAACTCATACCTCATGAACCTCTTGAGTGTCAAACTTGAATGTGGTATAATTAGAAAGGCAATAACACGCCCTTTTCTTTGATGTATTCATTGAAGAAGTCGGGCTTCATGAAATGGAAAGTGCATCGGTAGGTCAAATTGGAAGAATTTTTCGTGCATGTGCGTTGGATAATAAATAATACTGAGTAAATAAGTTCCACTGTACTTATGTACCCCTCTAAGAAACTATTTTCTTTCGTTTCCTCATGTGTGGGGAGGGCTTCTTGATGAGAGTGTTTCCATTTCAAATCAGGCAGGGTCACGGTTTTTGCGTCAGGTCATAGTCTCGGATTTTTTCAAAAAAATATATGTGATCCCCCCCTTTCAAATGATGGAAAATGGTATCTTATTTACCTCTATATCTGCAATAGTTTCGGGGAAAAAAATTCACAAGTGCCCCGAGATTTTTCCCGCTGAACACATTAAGGACAAAAGAGGGTGAGAGTTCAACGACATAGAGGATTTCATTATCCGTATCTTAGGACTTTTTTAAAATAGCGTATGAACTTACATGCAGAACACCTAGCATTTGAGAAAAATCTAAGTTATAATTTTATAAATACGTAATTTTGAATTTTAAAAAGTGATGAAACTGCTGAATTTGCTGGTATTTGCTGAATTTTTTTGCCAACTAAATTTGTATCCCATCTTGAATCAAGTATATTTTCATGAACTACATACATTGGGGCATCTCTTGTTGTCATTTGGCATTTATATCATTAATGCTTAATTTAATATTAATTTGCAACTTTTGTTGATTTCCGAAAAATGGGTGAAAAAGAACATTTTTTTCTCAAAAAACCCATCTTTGATTTTCTTCATTTCTTCCTTGTTGATACTAGAAAGCACCAGTTACAGCGTGGTATAAAAATTTCCTCCTCGATTTGCCTCATCACCAAATTATTGATTTTTATATATGCACATTTTCCGACGACGTTGAGGTAAACAACGGTCACGCAATCATGATTGATTTTTAGCCGTATGTGTCCAGCATTTGGCCAGCCGTATGTGGCGATGATAAATTCGACAATATCATGTTCACACCTACCCTGATGCAATGGTCAAATTGCGTAGCATATGAAAAATGCTCCACCGTGGTTTTTACTTAATATGTTGTATCTTCCACCTTTTTAACTGAAGTACATGGTCAAGTAAAGATTATCTTTATTAGAATAGGTTATTCGACGCCGTGGAACACACTGGAGGCCCAAACTAAGATAATTGTTATTTTCTGTGAAAACATTCTTCTTTAATCCGCATCTCAGTATATATTTATTCACACGAAGTTCAGGAAAATTGCACCGCTTATCATTCATACAATCTTCAGTCTCATTTCTTATTTTTTTTTAGAACCACTTCCTTCATCTCGTGTCGAACGGATCTCGCCATGAATAACTGTCCCTTTTTTGAAGACCAATAGTGGCTGCGCTGGATCCCTTTGGCTGCTTGCACATTGGTCCATTCCTCTTTTTTCTTGATGCGGTAATCTTGAACTGTTGCCTCCGGCAAAATCAGAAAATGCACATTTTTCATGAAGGGTGCCATTTTGGCATGAACTTCCTCAGGAGTTTGGATGGAATCGACTGGATCATGAGTTAGGTTGTCAAATGTGGCGTGGTGCTTCACCAGTCCTCCAATTCCATCGCTTGGGACTTCACCATGACCTGTTGCTGTGAAAAGCTATTTTCTTTCAGTATCACTGGTTGTTTTCAGTTCATAAAGCTGAAAACGATTTTTGAAATGGCTGGCTGGGCGTAGTTTCATTGATAAAAAGTCCATTTTCCCACATTGCATAATGAATCCCTTAAGAGTCACAGTCATCCAGATTTAGGCTCTCCACTGATATTCCGTCATTCCCCTGGCATTCCTGGCACTCTTGCAGCCATCAGGCATCAGAAGGAACAGGACATTAACATAATTGGAAGAGGTCATTCATGTTGACAGTCTTATTTAGAAAATTGCTGAGAGCTGTGAAACACAGCTCCATGTTGTTGCAATAAATACAAACGCACACCTCATGCGATGGGTGCATCTTGACCCACTTTGGACGCAGTGAATAAAACTTGGAGTGGCCAATTTTTATGTCTGGGTGAACTTTCTTGACTATCCTGAATGTTTCCTTCAGTGTCCTAGTCAAGAATCGCTTCACTTTCTTGGTTTTCTCACCATTTTCAAACACATTAATGACGTCACTTTTGTTGGGGCTCTGCCGCGAACAGTCCAGATTGTCGTCCAGGTAATAATCCCTTGCAATGGTAATGTGGTCTTTTGAAATGGCGTGGCCCAAGTACGGATCTGATTTCCCCCAAATGCCTCTCTCTTTCCTCTGCACTCGACCTTTATCGATTAGGTACTTCGTAGCACTTGGAAAATTATTCAATGCCTCCCGTTTGGACATGGTTTCGGGCAAAAGTGTCAGCAATTGCGCTTTTTCAATATGTGTGTCCGCTGTCGAGAGCGCTTGCCTGACATTATCCTGCCACTCTTCACATCCTTGGCATATTCCACCGCTTGACGCACTTTCTGTACTGGACAGTTCGTAGGCTTCCTGAATTTTCTTCCTAGCTTTCGAAGACAAAGTAGAGGCTACCTGATGCTGTTTCCGTTTTCCATAAGCCCTCCTCCTTTCGGTCCGGATAGTATTGGGCAGCTTCAAANTGCCAAATGACAACAAGAGATGCCCCAATGTATGTAGTTCATGAAAATATACTTGATTCAAGATGGGATACAAATTTAGTTGGCAAAAAAATTCAGCAAATACCAGCAAATTCAGCAGTTTCATCACTTTTTAAAATTCAAAATTACGTATTTATAAAATTATAACTTAGATTTTTCTCAAATGCTTCCACAAGACGTACATTCAAGTATGCGATAAAATTTTTTCAGGATTCTATGCCTATTACTTTAGGAGATACAGCAACTTGAGAGTGGGAGAAAACAGGAATTACACAAGTCGCCCTTTTTAGAGCCCTGCACTTGTGAATTTTTTTCTCCGAAACTTTTGCAGATATAGAGGTAAATATTTTTTTGAAAAAAATCCAAGACTATGACCTGACAGCCCTTGCTTGATTCGAAATGGAATCACCCATAGATAAGAATTTCCTTTTATGTGGATGAACATGCCTCTAGAATGAATGATCATGGTCGAGGGCGTTAAAGTGAAGTAAGGTTAGGGGTAATTTGAGCTTTTAATTCGGCATCAGCGTTGAAGGGAAAGGCGAGCCGCAGCCTATCTACTCCCATTGTTTTTGACAATGAAGTATGATGACCGCGCCATGACTTTTAATGGGCGCCTTATAAGTATATTACATTTTTGGCCAGTAGCATAATTATACGGGAAAATGTTTAGCAATTACCTTTTTAGTTCAATTTTCTCCTCCTATTTCTCGCAACTTTTGTTAAAGCAAAAATTCTCATTTTCGGAAATGATCATGATGTACTCGTATAAGAGATATAAAGGAAGACGCCCTACAAAGCAAAAAAGTCCGCATGAATAAGTTACGTATTATGGCCCAGTGGAATTTCAAGTGCAATATAAACTTTAGAGAGAACTCGAAAACTAAAGAGAGCAATATGCATTCGTAGGTATGCAGTATCAGGATCGCCGAATCGTGAGACAGTGAGGAGAGTCGTGATGGAAGAAAGGGAGGGACCGATTGATGAAGATAACGCTGACGACGGCTCAGACCCTATGATTGATGCATTGAAAGAAGAGAATAAATTATTCGATGAATGGAAAAAGCTACGGAATGAACTAACGAAGAAAACTACTTTTCCGGTCAATGATGAAGTTGAGATAAATCAGATTAGGGAAAAGTTGAAGGAACTTCAACGTCTAGGAAGGAAGACGAAGATACGATTTCAGTGATTCCTCCTTCTTTTACTTTGTCCTCATGTTGCTTTGGAAATTATCGATCTGCAGGATAGGATACTGGCATACTGATCCGTTATGTTCAGTTAAAGCGTTACCGTTCTCCTAGGTATGCTTATATTGGCGATGCCGCAATACCCTGACCGGCTCAAAATTCGATCATTCTCGCACACAATGTCGCGCTAAAGAAGGAAAATGCTTCGCACCTATTGACATATGGTTTGAGGATATCAATTGAATGAGGGCTGAAACTTATCTGAAGTTTGAGCAAACTCCGACACGAAGAGAATGATCGAGGAATACGTAGGGACAAGGATTTACAGAAATGGATCGAAGGGGAACTCACATATTTCCTTTTCAGACTTAAGAAATCAGCCTGGAGGACTCGTTGGATATTTCTCATGAGCACACGATCGTCCACCACAGGAAATGCCATAGTAAATCAGAAAATTTATCTCGCTGTTGATGATCCCTTCCTGAAATTTACGAGAGCAGATGCATATGAAGCCGTCAAACCCCCGTGAATTTCTTTCTTTCGGAATGATTTCAAATATGTCAGGATATTTTCATTAGTTTTCATCGAGTAAAGTCCTGGAACGTTAGGCGTGAATGTTATCAAACTTTGAATTCATTATTGCATATTGGAGCTCGTCCATGTGATTTTAGCTCATTAACCGAATAAAATGTATCGGTTCCATTATAAAATGGCGTTCTTTGCACAATCACATAGCACCAATTTCATTCAAATATGAGGGGTTTGTTTAAAGTTAGGTCAGATTAGATAGGGCTGCATTGAATTATATACAATTGGATTTGGAAGGATGAGATTTCCGACAGAATACATACAGCATTCTCTGCGAAGAAGAGATATGTAGCATATATTATGCAGGCTTTTTACATCATAGCTTATATTAAAAGGAAATTTTGTTTCATCCATTGTGCTAATAAAGTGAAATCATCCTGAAGCGGTATAATCCTTGCTAAACGTACTGATTTAATAAAGGCAAAAGTTCATCATGAATATTAGGAAGAGTTTGTGAGGTACATCGTGGTACTTATGCAAACGTTTTTATTTGTTAAACCTTTTTTTTTTAAAGGAAACCTGCTAGTAATTATTGCAGGTCAGGGCCCCCAGGGCCACATTTTTCCTGTGGGCCATAGGTTGAGTACCACTTCTAAAGAGTTTAGCCTTGCACAACAGATTTCAGTGTAATGGACCATGAGCGCGATTCCATGAGTAGAGACAGGATTTTCATGCTGGAGGCCCTTCGCCAATTCTTGAGAAAAAGGAAGGAAACGGGAAAAAGCGCTAGAAAATGGTAATCAAGTCCCAAGATACTAGTAGTGATCGCATTTTTGTGTTGATGTTTCTTTCGCTCACAATAGATATTTATGGATAGGTAAGAGCATAGAAATTCAGTCCATTGTCATGAGAATCACACGAACGCACGCGAGACGCGGAAGAAATTTAATATCTCCCGTTATGGAGTCTGGGTCCGAAAGCGTTAACTCGGAAACTGGGAATGACGAGTATACTCATGGCCACTCTGTAGTGAGCTCCAATGCATTCACGAATAGCGACAGGAAAATGCACTCATACAAACCGCCGTGCGAACACTTGAAAATTGAAATGGTAGAGAAATTGTTCTTTTTTCAAAACAAGAAGTCGAAGTCGTGTCGATTTACAGTCAAGTCCCGATCATCAGCTGCTTCTAATGACTAGGCAACCGAGGATCATCATACACAGACGTCATAAACTGTCCTAATGGGTGAACTTTATTTTGTCTTCCATTGCTAATGATATGGCGAAATCTTTCACTTGTAGCTTGCGTTTAATAAACGATAGGAAGCATTCCTATCTGAATACGGTATTGAGTTTTGGGAACCTCATCTAGTTGGGGAGTTATAACACCACAATTTCAAAATTGAAAAAATTAGCACAATTTATGTTACTGTGAATAAACCACACAAGCATGCATACGTTTTCGAAACAGCATTTCCCAACTTAATGCGATCGCAAACTCGGGGCGAATCATTCGGCGAAGAATTTCCATGTTCGGATATCAACTAAGTGGCCCTTATCTTAATGGACCTAGGCGCAAATAGCTCCTACGAGATAAAAGTGAAAGTCAGGTGAATACAATGATGTTAGCGTGGAAAAAGCGTAATTTTGGTCCCGCATCATTATTATACATTCATAATTTACATTCATAAGTGCCATCCTACCTTGAACGAAAGACACTGAGTAAGAGGTAGTTAAGCTGAATCAGATTTGGTTGAGGTTTTGACTCCTCTATCTGCCCCTAACTCCTCCTATGGGCACAAACATCACGTCAGGGTATGGGTGCATGGATGACTGGTGTGGTTCCAATAAAAATGCGTCAAAATGTCCAGAAAATGCAGATGACCTCTAATGAGCATGAAGTCACAATGGAGGAAATTGGAAATCCCTTTGAAGGATCATGAGGTAAATATAAAGGAAGCGGACAGAACTGCCTAGATGCTTGAGGAGAACGTCGAATTTAAGTATCTCAGAATGTACAAGGGAT